AGCTGTCTTCTCCCATAATGATTTGCAGCCTTAGAAGCCCTTAGGAGTATTTCTAGTCTACTCTACAGAGGGTCACTTTCCAATGGAATTGACTCAATGGTGGTGGTGTTTTTCTTGTGTTTTTTTTTACTTTGAGGGGCGGGGATTGGGAAGGGGGAGCCTTGCTCCTTGACAAGAAAACCAGAGAAGCATCAATGAGGAAGAGAATTGCTTAGAAGTCAGACTATATTTCAAGTTCCTATACCACATTTTTAGGAAGATTTGCTCCTCTTGAGTGTCTCAGAGACCAAAGCTATGTTGTCTGTCAAGGCCTTGGCTCTTTGCGACGCTGCCTGAAGTCCAGGACTTACCCGCAGCATTGTGTTGGTGATACTGGATCAATTCAGGGATTGATTGGAAGAGGTGTCTTTCAGCCACATAACACTGTCCCGAGTCATTCTTTTTAATCTGATAATGTTTGATAGTAGCCTCCGAACCACTACAATCAATAAAATGCGAATTAGCAGACAAGCAAAAGATCACTGTGGAACTAAGCCAATTCATTAAACATGACAATTCTACCTCTGAAACTCTTATCCTAGCAAAATTACACAGTGGAGAGGAAATTGATTAAAAAGATATCTCAACCTCTGAGGAAAATTCCCCAACTATCCTACTAGAGCCTCAGATTCAAACATAACCTTAGTCACAGTTGCCTATATGACAATGTCTACGTCCAAAATGGCTACTTCTAAGTTAATTTCTAAGTATCCATGGTGAGTTCAAATTTTTGACAGAATATAAAATATGAAGTATAAGTAAATGAATGAACAGTTGCACTGTGAGGGAATGGAGATGTGGATTAAGGCAGGGAGAAAAATCATTGTAGGTGCATTAACAACCACCGCCCTCTGTCTGACTGTCATACTGTGATGACTTGTGTTATGGAGCTATGATGCTGGAAGCTATGCCACCATTATTTCAAAGATCAGTAAGGTCACCTGTGGTAGATAAATTTTAATGGAGTTTCTACACTAGGACAGTCTAAGAAGAAAGTTTTAGTAATCTACCTCTGAAAATTAGCCAATGAAAACCCTATGGAACACACCAGAATATAGTGATAGAAGATGAGCCCCCTAGATTGGAAGGCACTCAAAATACACAGTGACTGCAACCATGGGCTTAAGCATACCAATGATCACGAAAATGTGCAAGACCAGGAAACATTTCATTCTGTCATACATGAGACAGCCATGAGTCAGTACCGACTAAACAGTAACTGACAACAGTAAGCACCCTATGGACAACTGGACCCCAATCCCTCTAGAACTTTTGAAGGACTATGTGGAAGACTTCTCAAAATTGTCCCATTGAAGCATGGAGAAGGTGATGTGCTTATCCACCATTTCAATCTTCACTGATGACTTTCACTTCTGGAATGTTAACACTCAAGCAATGCTATTCTAGTCTTGGGCCCAATGAGCTCCCACAGCCAGAGAATATTCTTAAGCTGAGAGAGAGGAAACTTAATGAATATGGAGAACTCTCTGAGGCTAAATCCCAGGATAGACCAAGGATATGAGGAAAGTAGCCTCAGAGTCTGCTACAACTAATGTAACATCCTCAATTGATGGATGAGAAAAGTGAGGCAGAGAGTTTAAGAAACATATCCAATACCATAGAGTTTACTAGGGATAGAATTTGAATTAGTTAGTTGTCCTGTGTTTCTGGCTAAATAACTTTTCCCTATGCTAGACTTTCATTTTATATACACTATATGATATTGTGAGCTGAAATGGACTGGTATTGGATTTTGAATTTTGAATCTGACAACCACATGGTTTACTATGC